TGTAAACCTGCTTCTATGTTCAAGCCCAACTGTTTGCATAATAATGATATTTTGTTTGAAATTGTGTGACACTAATTTTATGGTTATAACTTACATGGTATCAGTTTTTATTCAGCAAGCTCATTACATTAGTAAATGTTTAAGATGTACATACTAAGTTCATATGATAGTTTTATTGTTCTTATTAACATACAGTTCTTAAGAGTTCAGTTTAACTTTCCATAGTTTGAATCACTGTGTAAGATTAATCCAAGAGTAGGTATTTAATATCTACTTAGCAAAGCTAGACCTTGTATAGTGTTTTTTTATAAAAAGTTATTTTAGTGTACTAAAAATATATATATGATATGGAATTTCACATTGTTAGTCTTCTAAGTTTTATAAAACTTTGTTAGTTTATACCTTCACAGAATTCCCGCATTAGCAGAAAACAAGCCTAAAGAAGAACAATTTAAGGAGCTTCAAGATAAGCTAGAAAAGGCCAATGGACTTTTAAACCAGAAACCATCTGACAATCAAGCTATGGTTCTCAAAAAAGGTGAAAATATATCATCTTGAAAAGTTAACTATGTTAGTGGCCATAGGCTTTATGAGAGAAGTAAATCAATGTTTTTCATTTCCAATATTACTTGCTATTTTCAGAGTAACTATGGCAGAAGTTTTCTTGAAGAAAAGTATTTGAAGAAACTTTCGTATGTTTCAGATGAAAGGGAACCAAGCAAAGAATATGAGTTGACAAGGAGAAGAGTAGAAGATGGCGTTATTGAAATGTGGTATTTTATTCGTTCAAAGCTGAAAACCCTAAACAAAACACTGAGTTCAGACAAGGAAACCATCAAAATGCTAACTGAAACAATGGAAGATATAGCAAATCATAGAAGGTGAGAAACAAAAATTGAGTACACTGAACAAGTCCATTAAAACCTTCTCATCTATATTAATACCATTATACTTTATACCTTGTAATATATGATTAGAAATATCAAAATGTGTCATACCAAGATCACCTTATGGTCTTTCTACAATTATATTTTTTAAAAAGTGACATTTTAACATCCAAATGTTTTGTTGTATACAAGACAGTAAATGAATTTCCTCAGTACTTCTGCTGATATTTTAAAGAATGTTTTATTTTTTTGGGGTCATATTCTGTGAATAATCATTAAACCAGATAACAGAATCACAGTAACATACTTTTTTTTGCAGTAATGGCTTTGGTATTATGGTACTTCCATTAACTGCATAACTTGACAGTTATTTAACCTCACTAAGTAGCACATTGATTGTGACATACAGCTGTCTTTTTGATGAAGTGGTACTTACTTAAATGCAGAACAATATTTTTTACTATTACTACCGTACCATTGGTGATAGAAAACCAAGGTTTTCACAGGAAAAATGGAATATCTATCAAGATTTGTTTGGCTGCTAGAAAGTTCCTTGATAAAAATAAAATAAAAAAAATGTGAGCGCATATTGTGTACAAACCAGAGGGGTATTTAAGGGAATTTTTTTTTAATTCTAAGGTGACAGGAAGTTTCATAAAAAAAAAATACTGTCCTGCTTAAATTTATAACTCTGCAAGAAGAGCTACTTTGTAATTTTTATTTCTGCCATTAAACTAATTAATTCTTTACATTATCTGGATTTTGACAATAATGAGTAAAAACCTCTTAAAAGTATAATAATTTACAATTATTTCTTAAATTTCTATTATTCAGTGAAAATTGCTTGTGGTAGAGTATGCTAAGCTATAAAATTCATATGGAAATGTTGTTATAAGCTAATATACAAATGAAACAACATTTTGGTATGCCAAGATGGTAACAGGTGATTTGGAAGTTTACTATTGAATATTCAGTGTATTATTGACTGACATTGATAATTATATTGCTTGTAGCTGGAATATCCAGTGTATAGAAGCCAAACCATTAAAAATGGACTATCATGTTATTGTCAAAAATCTGATCTTAAATAAAATTAGACACATCAGAATTTTTTTTTAAATTTAAGTGATTTAAGACTAGTGTAATTCAATTGTCCAAGTTAAAATTACACTCATTCCAAAATGAATTTTTTTTTTGCCTAATAAAGTATAGTTGAATTTTGTTGCTTGATAGCAGTTGCTATCTTATGAATTATCTAAGCTAACTAAAAATGTGATATAACTTTGAATAGTGAGGTTAGAATTTTAAAGAATTCCTCCATTTTTTTTTATCTTACTGCACTAATGTTTTTTGGAAACTGAAGATGTGGTATAATAAACATTAGACCTATAACTTATAAGAAAACAATACTGTTAAGTAAAAACAATTGTTTAGGTATGTTAGTCTTTTAATTGTTCAATGTGCAAGTCACACCACTGAGACAGTTTGGGTTGTGCTTGTCATTGTTCTCACTGCCAGTACCATGACCACTTGTGGCATACAGTGGCAATACAATGGGTGGGGGTGATTTTTATTAAAGCTATGTAATGACCATCTGTGTTACATCTACAAGGGAATATTCTACTAGAGTAAAAATATACAGTGGGCTAGATGATGCAATATTTTTTTTGTGTGATGTGCATTGATGGAAATACTATCTGATTCATTGCAAAATTAATATCCAGTTGAATCATATTTCATTTGATTTTGCACTATCCATTTGGATCGAATATTTTTCCATCTCCAATAAATATACTTATCTACTACCTGAATACTCTAAACTAGGACTTCTTAGCTGATTTCAGTAGCTAATGATTATCCAACCATGTGGAATGATATTGATATTTGCTATTAGTGCAGGGAAAGTAATTTAAACTACAGAAACAAATTAGAACTTAAACTATAGATTTTTTTCTGGTTGCATTTATAGCAAAAATTTACAAATACAAAATACAAAAAATATTTAAGGTACATTTTGTAGTAGTAGTAATACAAATGAATAATGATAAGTTTAAATTATTTATTTATTGAAGTAATGAAAAATAGAATTATGGTTATGGTTTCCTAACTACATGTATTGTAGCAAGACTGTGAGTAGAAGATTCTTTATAGAAGGCAACATAAAAACTACAGTACTGGGAGAGCAACAAAGGCTGTTTTTTTGAAGTTTCACCAAAGTTTATTTTTGCCCCTAATGCAGCATTGACAGTGAGTGGATGTTAAGTATTGCCTCACGTGTTACGAATTAAACGAGTAACAGGCTAACGTGAGATAAAGCAGAAATGTAGCTTTTTGTAAAGAATCTTCTTAGAAGCATGGGTTCACTTGAGTAACTCTTTTTTTTTTGAAGCACAATGCTGTTGATCATTCCATCTTTTTTTTTTTTACCTCACAAGCTCTTTCCTCCAATATTTTGTTAAACATAAAAGTGCCATCATCCACTTGGTTTGATTTCTTTGTGACAGGTTCTTCTGTTATGTGTTGTTCCATTTTGCTTTCATCTGTTCCTAGTTTGTCAATAACATTTGCATATCAAGCAATTTTTTGTAAGGGTTCTTCTGTTGTTGTGTGTTATGTGTTATTGCATTTTGCTTTATTTGTTCCTAGTGTGTCAACAACATTTGCATATCAAGCAACTTTTTGTAAGGGTTAGCAAAATACCTGTCCTTCTTTCTTGGGTCTAGCAGGGTTATAATGCAGTAAAGGGGTTCTGATTCAATTTCACTAATACTAATTTCCATAGCCTTCAACAAAATAACTTTTGTAGTTTTGATTCCATAGTCTGAATATATAACTTTGCTCAAAAGTCTGATAAAGCTACCATGATGAAACAACATTAGAAGCAGAGTCCTGGGTAGAACTTACTTCATGTGTAGTTCTTAAAAAGGCACTAAGACTTACTGGTTTTTCAATCAAACTCCTTTGATACGTGGTGAGAGATGCAGGGTTTTCATAGTCAAGCAGCCTAGGTTCCAAGAGAACACTTCTGCTCCAAAAGGTTTTTCAGCATGTAGTAAGTTCTGTTTCACCTTGTCTGTACATTCTACTGTAATCTCTTGAAATGCATTTTGAGCTCAACCCAAACCTCTTGCAGATGAGAATAGACCAGCAGAGTTTGTACGAAATGCCCAACAGTTTTTTCGTCTGATTGCTAGTATGTTGGACATACCTTTGTTCACAATAAGCTGGAGTGTGTGTGTTACATAAGGCAAGCTTGGTAAACTACAGTCTAGAATTGCCTTCACAGGTTTTCTTGCATTATCCCTGATGATCACATGACTTTGATACTTGCTTTTCCATGTTGCAAAGATTTTATTAAATGCTATTGAAATATTCTCTGCATTCATAATGTTAGAAAAACACATAGGTTCAAAAAATCAATTTAACACAAAAATAAGATATCCTTTAACCCGAGCACTTTCAAAAGGTAGATCCTTTCTTCTTCAGGGATAAACTGGGATGACAGTGTAAACCAAAGTGTGAGTTAAAGTGAAGTTTGAGTAATGTCATGCAGGCCACCATGGAAAGCCAGAAGTGTTTTAAGTAGCTTTCAATGTATTGTTATAAGTGTGTCTCATTTCTGGTGCAATATTCCTGGAAATAAAAATGTTAGGTATAAAGAAATTAGAGATGTATTGTTTTAAAAAAGAAAAATAGTCATTAAAAACTACACAGAGAATTGATAAGGTAAAATAAAGGTGAGATATGAAGATTAGTTAAAAGAGAAATGTTAAACAGATATAATTAAAAACAAAACATGGAAAAATATAAATAGAAAGCTTAAGGGTGAAAATTGAGAATATACACTGCATAGACAAAAAAAACTTTTTCTGACAGAGAACAAATTAATGATCAGAAATCACTGATTCCAGGATCTTGATTTATTCCACAAGGTTAAACAGTATTTAAAGCTGTAATCCAGTAGGCTTCTCTTATCTGTCTGTTGGCTTTAGTTTTGAAATTGGTTTCAGTACCAATGAGAATCACATCTTTAATAGAATGACCAGACTGGTTAAAGTGTTGTACAACAGGGAGGTCTTTTTTCTATAAACTTGCAGGTTAGACAACAAGCTTTAGTACTTGGATGATAACTGTCTTTGGTGGGGTGTAATTCACTTTTGCATGGACAAGGATGTTTTTAAGACTTCTGCCCTTCCAGAAGGAGCCAACGTGGACATTGGGAAATATTTTTCTTAGGCTATCATTCAGTTGTAGTGGGTGAAAATGTTTTTTGTTGAATGCAGAAAATGTATCGGAGTTTAAGGGGACTGGTAATAACGAGGAATTCCAAAACATTCTTACCTCCCTGACACTACAGCTGTTACTCAACTGCTAGGGTTTCTTTCCTTTGGTCATTTAAGCATTGATCTGATTTTTTCTTGCTTGCTCTAGTCTTTTATTCCCCCACTTAATTGCCCTTGGCAATATCTGTATCATGACACTCTCCACCTACATCAAGTGCCCTCTATCCTTGTACTGTAGATAAGCACCTCATTCAGATATTACTTTTTTTCAACAAAGTTTTCACTAATGAGGTTCTCTGTACTACGTCATTGCAGATACTTTGAACGTTCTTCATGTTACCTATTTGATTTTTTGTAAAAAAAAATTTTGTTTGGCAAGCCAATATATGGCATGAATTCCCAGATTACTGTTTCTGGCACAAAAGCAAATCAGGTCCCTCCTATTCCACCTCTGATATCTAGTGTCACTCAATAGTCTAGGAGGTCACTTGCAGTTGAGACTGTCCATGACCTTATTCTTAGTGAGATGGAGACATATAATCGGTCCAGTGATGTTTCTCAGGGGGGCTCTGAGGCTGCACTTGCAGGTGATCCTTGACATTCTGGAGAGAATTTAGGTTTGTTTTTTCCAGTCCCTTCCTTTACTCTGTCAGCTTCTCAGTAGGCCAATTTGGAACAGCTGCTTCCAGCTCCTTTTCTTTAGTTGGTGAA